CGCAGCGTTCCGTGTATCTACATAGCAACCAGCGCAGTCCTTTTACTCAGGAACAAAATATATCCCATGCAACCTATACATACTGGCACAGAATACTACTGGCAAAGCGAAATATTTCACCACCCTGCTTCACAGTATCAGACCTGGGGCATGACACTTAAAGCAGAACTGAGTCCAGGATGTGCCAAAATTAACCCTTCGAGTGGGGCTACCCCTGCACTGCAAGGGTTAACTGCTTGTTTGTTTTTTTCTTCTAGGGGTCGCAATAAAGAAAATATACTTACCTGATCCTCTGTCCTGCGGCAGTCAGCGTTCACCTCTCTGCTCCGGCTGTGGTATGTCCCTCAGTGTCCTCCTATCTAATGCAAGTACACGGACCTGTATTAGACTTGATGATGTCACGGGTCCTTAGATCGCCGGAGCCTGGGGGAAGAAGAGGCTGTGGTGACCGGTGTAGCAGCCAGGCGGGATTGAGGGTCAGGTGAGTATATCTTCTTTATTCTATCCCCTAGACCGGGGCTGACCGACTCCGGCCCTCCAGCTGTTGTGGAACTACAAGTCCCATAGGCATAGCAGTTACTGACCGTTACAGGCATGATCCCCCAGAGGCAGAGGCATGTTGGGAGTTGTAGTTATAACACAACTGGTAGGTTGGAGTTGCCCACCCCTAGACCAAAACGAGCAGCTAACCCCTGCAGTGCTGGGGTAGCCCTACTGCAAGGGTTAATTCTTGCATATCCTGGAATGATGCTTTAAAGCAGATCGATAGCCAGACCAGTCAACACGAGTCAGGTAAAGCGCTGCCGTGCTTCCACTTTTTATTCCATCTCAGGGCTGCTGATCTCCTGCAGCCTCTTTCAAGTCGCTTCCTGTCTACATTCACAGCACCTTATTCCTCAGGGCCGCTTACTGAAGGAGACCATGCTGGACCTCGCCTGTGCAATGTGTGCCGACACCAGCGAAGGACAGGCTGACAACAAGGGATTTTCAGCTACCAAGTACCGTGCTCAGTACAAGTATAAGTACAGATACACTCGCAGCCTTCCCCTCTCATCTGTCACAGAGGAGTTCCGGCACGGTGCTGTGCTAGAACTCCTGTATTGAAGGCGACAGGTTCAATAAAGAGGACCTGTCACCTCCAAATGCTATCACACAGGGGCTTGTTAGCTCCCGTGTGATAGCAATAAAGTTAAGTTTAAAAAAAAAAAATTGTTAAGCAAATAATTAAATAAATAAAAATTTAAAAAAAATAAGAAATAATTAAAATAAAAAAATTAAAAGGTGATTAAAAAGTAAAAAATAATAACAAAACAATTATAAGAAAAATAAGTAATAAGTAAACAATAATAAGATAAAAAAATCATGAAAAATAAAAAAGTAAAAGATAAGATAAATAACTAGGGTTGCACAGATACCAAGTATCGTGCTCGGTACGAGTACATGTACCGATACTTTTGAGCTCCAAGACTAGACTAGAGAAAAACTCAGAAGTTAGGAGGCCGCTGTCATATGTAAGGAGCACACGGAGCTCCTGGGATTTGTACATCTCTGTTTTAATGTACGGTTTTGTTTTTATAAATAAAGGGATGCACAGATACCAGTTTCCAAGTACCGATACTTGTCCAAGTACTCACAGATACAAGTACTGATACATTTTTGTTTATTGTCATGTGACAGTTTTTCTAAAACAATACAGACTAATGATTTCAGGACAGCGGTGCCCGGTCCCAGCTGCAACCGCTGCAACCCTGGGAGTTCTCATGAACATGACAAGTATCGGCACTGGTATCTGGACATCCCTACAGACAACGCAACAGTGCAATTGGGAGACGGGGACAGAGTGTTGTCACCCTATAACAGGAAGTGCCGGAACAAGGTCATCAGGGATCATACATACAATATATTCAGTATATTAGATTGTAAGCTCTCGGGGGCAGGGCCCTCCTTACCATCTTGTCTTAAATTGTATTGTGATTGTAATGCCTTCCTTATATTGTAAAGCGCTGCACAAACTGTTGGCGCTATATAAATCCTGTATAATAATAATATATATAATTACAATAAACAATTTTAGAATGAAGCTAACGTGATATTTGAATGGCTGATTTTGGAGTTACTATTAAAGAAGAACTCCGGGCATGTCACTAATGAACCCTTGCGGTGGGGCTACTCCTCCTGGTATAAAATAAAGACGATATACTGACCCGATCCTCGATTCCTCCCGGCTGCTTCACCAGTCCCTGCAGCCTCTTCTTCCCCTGGGCTCCAGAGGTCTAAGGGTCCGTGACATCATCACGTCTAATGCAAGCTACATTAGA